TGTGTGCGTTTGAAAAAGTATTTGAGGGGGGAAAATCCACAAACACACACACACACACACACACATACACACATGCACACACAGACACACACACAAACACATACACACACACACACACACACACACACACACACACAAACACACACACACACATACACACACAACCACACACGCAAAACACGAGCTATTCCTTCGAAAAAATTGTAATAGTTCAAGTTTACAAGATGTGATGTAAAAGAAATTCATTTAAAAACCCTACCATTTGTTGTTCCGTCTCTGTTTTTGGAAGCGGATTGTTGAGCTTTCTTGTGCAGCCATTTCTCTATTCTCTCGGACGTCACGTGGTGGATCACGTGCTGCTCAAGTACATCCGGGTTCTGGCGGAGGTACTGACTCACCACTTCCGGAGTCAGATCTGTTGAAAGCAGAAATAGAAGAAAAAAAACACATCTTGCTTTAGGTCTAAATGATGTTGCATTTTTCCTCTATAAGCCGAGCCTCCTCAGAGGGTAGTTTTGCTGGTGCTCTAGAATGGTTTGCTTCTTCTTGCCTATCAACATCTAACGTCCCTGTCCCTCCCACTTCTATTTGTATTATGTAACTGTCTAGTAACACCACTAATCTTTGGCACGTATTTTGTGTTGCCGGTGCTGTTAACTCTTACTAAAGCTAAAAGTAAGCTAGCCTAGCCTCCAAGCATTCTTGATCTTGTTCGTTTTCGTAATTTAATAAATAAATAAATAGTCACAAAATTAGTACCGGGGACTATGGTATAGAGGTTAGGTTCTTCGCTGCCGTACGCAGGAGAACCGAGTTCTCTTGCCGTATGTGCAGAACGAAAGTTATCGAGTATAATAAAAAGAATAAATGACATTTATAGAGCGCTCTACCCAGATTAAAGTACACAGGCTCTGAGCGCTTAACAATACAGTACAACGTACAACAGTAACATAAAACGTTGTGTTCTGACTAAAAGAAAATCACAAAAAAATATTCATCTTTTAAATTTAAAAACAGAAACGATTCATCTGATATTTGAATGAACCAAAAGATTTGATGTCTCTTAAAGTACTTGGTAAAGCATTCCAGATCTTGGGGCCTTGGTATTCAAATGCCCTTTCACCCATTGTTATATATCAGTCTTTCCGATGAGATGTTGTATTCGCCTGAACCCAGATTGGCCCTGACAGGTAAGGCTGAAAAACTGCCTCCTAAATGATCTGAAGTGTGTTGATGGAGGCGTGAAAATGCATACATTTTTCAAAAAGTCAAAAAGTACAAGGAGCGCACTTCAGCAAAATAAAATGATAAAATCAAAGATATTATATTTCTGTCATCTTTCGTCACAAACTATAGTAAAACTCAAAAGTGAGAGAACCCCAGGGCTAATTAGAAAGTGGATATTGAAGCTCATGATATTGGGAAAAACATATTTTATTATACTGAGCTGTAAAAGTAATATCGCGATTCAGAAGTTAGTAGCTTATAGCTTTCATGCAACATGTATATTCAGAAGTCTCGTTGTTTAGAGTAGTAGAGGATATATCACATCATATATCTATCTATCTATCTATCTATCTATCTATCTATCTATCTATCTATCTATCTATCTAGCTAACCAGCAAGCTTCATGATGACAAGTATAGGACAAACTATAGGGTGAGTATATCAAAGTGTGAAGCGAGATAAAAGCAGCGCAGTGTAACTATAGAACACTTACCACTACATTAGAAAGAAGGACTCACAAAATGTACAAGTGCTAATGATTACACTGTTGATATCACTTCTAAAATAACCTACAGTAGCCCTACATAAATTTGGGAGCTGAAAAAGTATTTTTTAAAACTTTCTCGTAAAAAGTTCTCTAGTATAGGCAGGTGTAATTAATATGTTTCTACTTTTGAATTTTTAAAAATAAATGTATTTCCTCAGAGGGGACGTCCATTGATTTCGGACGAATACCACCTTAAAGTCATCATCACCACCACCACCACCATCATCACCATCATCATCATCATCATCATCATCATCATCATCATCATCACCATCATCATCATTATTATTTGTTTTTAATATTCCTGACGAAGCCCATAGTGGGCGAAACGTATATAAAATATTTTGGAAATTCTACCAAGTCTCAACCTTTTTTTATTGTCTGTCTATCAGCATCGTCATCATTATCATCAACAGCGGGAAATACATCAACAACAGCAACAACAACAACAACAACAACAACAACGACAACAACGACAACAACAACAACATCAACGCCAACAACAACAACAACAACAACAACAACGACAACAAAATCCACAACTACAACTACAACAACAACAACTACAACAACAACAATAATAATAATAATTATAACAATATAACAGAACAAATAACATAATACAACGTAACATTGCAATGGACAGGCACTTACTGCTTGTCAGAAGTATGAGGCTGTACTCTACTTTAAACGCATTTTAAAAACAATACATGAATTGCTAAGAAATGTTATGTTTTCTTTGTACTGTATCAAGATCGCCTTGCTACTTGGTCGCTTTTAAAGACAAGCGGGCTAACCCAGATTTAGGGGGTTTCCAGAAATCTCGATTTACACCAGAAGAGGAATGCCCTACCTAAAGGAGAAGTTTGGTTTCATTGGTGTGTTTATTTGTTTGGTTATAGTGAAAACTCTCTTTGTCTTTTAAAGAAACTGAACAAGGGGCAAAAACTTTACCTTTGATTTTCTCAAAACAGCATTTTCGGGATAGCCCCCTTGTGCTTAAAAGCGACCATCTTATCTCGCGGTAAATCCCACGTTGGCTATCAGAGAGATGGTGACAAGAAGAATTGTGAGGTGAAAAAAGCTGCAGTAGAAAAAACAACAACAATAGAAGTAGATTGTTTTAAGTATGTTTCAGTGGTCTTTTTGTAGAGTGAAGCTAATAATATAATATCATTATGGAGAAAGATATTATTAGAGACAAAGAAAATTAACTGCTTGTCGTCCTGTGAACTTAACACACCGTTTTATCTCATAGGGTCTGGACATAGACGTGTAACAAAAAGGAAGCGATCAGATGTTTGGGGGGAAGGGAGGTCAGTGCATGTCCAACGGTCGTTGTTCGTCTTACGTAGCTTCGAAGCAGTGAAACATAGGTTTGATTGTAATAATATATTGTGAGGCAGCGTGGTGGAATCAGGCTCTCGTCAATTTTTGGGCATGTAGAGTTATTGGTATCATATTAACGCTTGTTCACTTGTCTTGATTTGGATGAAAAAGATATCCCTTTTTCTTGAATGCAAGTCGAGATATTTGCAAAAGTAGGAGGGTGGGGGTCACTTGTTTTCAGAGATAAAATTAGTGAGAAAATGGACGCCAAAGATTAGTTATTTCTTTAGATTAATAGTCCGTGGTAACCGAAAATTTACATTTTTTGTACCTTTAATCAACGTTTTTCAGAAAAATCCAAACAGAAATGAGTTCTTTAATGGGCATGAAAGGTGTTGAGCCAAAAAAACAAAAATTTGATAAAAATTCACAAACCTGCGGAAAAAATGAAAGTTTCTTCACTTTGATTATTTTGATGTGAGCCTGATTCCACCACGCTGCCTCACAATTGTGACATGGCGCTGTGGAATCGGGCGCTAGTCATTTTTGGTGCATATTTATGGAGTTATAAGGTTCTTGGACTCGCAACCGTAAGGTCGAGGGTTCGAATCCCGTCAGGGGCCCGACGTTGTGTCCTTGGGAAAGGCACTTTGCACAATTTTTCCTCACTTCACTCAGGTGGAAATGGGTACCCGGCTACAGACAGTGAACGATCTTGTCAGATAGTGTTTGAGCGCGTGAAATCCGCAGCTTGCACTGTATGCTTCCACCGAAGCCGAGAATGTTTCAGAGTGTTCTCAAAGGGTCTGCTGGGGTAATAACGGTTGTAAAGCGCATAGAGCATGCTCTTGAGCATGGATATGCGCTTATATAAATGCAATTATTATTAGTAGTATCATCTTAAAGTTTGCTCATTTGTCTATAATTCGATGAAAAAAGTACACATCTATCTTGAAAAAAGTCGATATATTTGTAATTGAAGATGGTGAAGGTCACCTGGTTTCAGAGGTTAAATTAGCGAGAAAAGGGCCACCAAATTTCGGTGACTTCCATAACTTGACAGCCCTTGGAAACAGAAAATTTGTATTTTTTGTACCTTTAATCAACCTTTTTTTAAAAGTAAAATCCGCACCAAAATGTGTTTTTAATTGGACATATAATGCGTTGCCCCCCTCCCCCCACCCCCACACACACAAAATGCAATACAAGTTTCCAAACCGACAGAAATATGCCGGTTTCTTCGATTTCAATATTTTGACGAGCGCCTGATTTCACCACGATGCCTCTAATATGCAACAGGCGTAAGGTCAAGATAAAGAGCAAACATAAAACCTTCCGTTTGTTTACAATGCATTCTTATCATAATTTTAATAATATGCACCTACAATAATGTTATGAAGATCCACTTTTATTCTCAGATCGATATTGTTAAGTCTTATCAAGAACTGTGGGCCAATTGTGAAGCATCGTGGTGAAACCAGGTGCTCGTCAAAATGATGAAATCGAAGAAACGGGCACTTTTCTTCCAATTTCGCAATTTATATCATTTTTTGTTTTGTTTTGTTTTTTGGCTCAACGTCTTTTGTATCCATATAAAACACATTTGAATGTGAATTTTTCTGAGAACCTTGAGTATAGGCCTCACATTTTTTCCTTCAGTTTTCAAGGACTCCCAAGCTATTGAAGCTACACAACTTTGGCGGCCATTTTCTTGCTAATTTTACTACTGAAACTGAAAGCAGGCAACTTCACCTGCTTCATCGCAAATATCTCGACTTCTATTCAAGATAGATGGTTTTTTTTATGAAAGCAAGGCAAATGAATAAGCTTTCAGATTACACCGATAACTCAACATGCCCAAAAATTAACGAGCGCCTGATTCCACCGCGTCATGACACAATTGATCTTTGTTAAAGCTAATAGTACGCGCTAGAATTACGAGGCAACAGACATCAGAACGCCACAGAGGCATTTATGAGCCTTATCAGCTCAATCCCTTTAGAAAATTTAATCTTTTTAACAATATATGCATACTCTACATGGTGGCGGCTGGGGTTGAAACGGGGGTAGGGGTGGTAAAAGGAATTGATATTGGTTGAGTAGGAGTCATGCAGTAGTTCCCAACCAAAACTAATGCACAATCAATACCGGTATTCTATCAGCCACTGAAGTTTTATGAGCAACTACTAACTTGCACATTATAGAAAAGAAGGAATGGTGTTTAAAACAATACATAATATACGAGGCAAGGAGAAGCATAAGAGCGCTGTGGGATTATGTCGATCTAGTAAAAAGCATAACGATCATTTCCA